GCAGGGCTGTCTCATATCTCCACTTTTATATGTCTTCGTGGTAGGATCCCTAGCGATTTCAATCCCACAATACGTTAGTGGCTTATATGCTGATTTTATATTTTGCTATTTTTTACTAGACTTGGGCCCATCTCTGCGATTCGCTCTGCATACTATTGTACAGTTTGGTGCCTTCAGGTCTGAAAATGTATTGGGACGAGTCTTGGATTATGCCCGTAGACCATGTTCCTCCTACTGCAGATCAGGCCCTCCTCCTGCATATCAGGCCCTCCTCCCATTGGTTTGAACTAGCTTTATTTAATACCTGTGGAATTCAGATTTCGTGAGCCACTATAGACTTTATTCCTTTTGAGCCTCTTATTAGACTTGTCATGGCTAAGTGTCGGGTCTGGGCCAAACTTCCCTTATGGGATATGGATAGAGTGGGTCTAGTAAAGATGATCCTGCTTCCAAAAATCCTCTATGTGTTGTGGCACTTCCCAATATATTTCAAAATGCTCGATTCAATGCTTAAACTGTTTATTTTTGGAAAATAATAGATAGAAACTTCAGTGGCCCATTTTTAAAAATCCTTCGCTGATGGGTGCTGTTGCATTTCCTGATTTTTAGTCTGTGTTATAAAGTGGCTCTACTGTCTCATTTATATCATTTAGATAAATCTGAGAAATTAAGGACCATGATCCCCTTTGTACAGTATTATGTGTAGTCAAGGGTAGTACTATTTCTTTATATATGACTATGATTTTGTATCGGTTTCTCAGACTTATGAGATCTGGTGGGAGGGAGAGTTTGGAGAATTGGAGGATGGGGACTGGGACGAGGCTCTGGAAGCTTGTAAGACCTCACCTAAGTTATCTGATAGATTAATTCAACTGTATATTCTCCATAGATCATGACTACTATGCTACTCTCCAGGTTTCGCCCACTACACAGTCTTATAAGTTTTTCCACCCCAGGTTTCTTCCATTTATTGTGGGATTGTCCAAACATTCAGGGTTTTTGGTGTCGGGTCATTCCATTTCTTTGTGATAAAATGGGTTCCCCAATTTCACTAAACTTTTTTTTTTCATCCAGGAGACACATCTGGCTATGTCATTTTTCTGTAGAAAGCGAGTTTAAGATTTAAATCTGACACAGTTACTTATTGCTTTCTTTTTCTTCATCCTAGGGTTACCTCTTCATTTCGGTGCTGGTGAATTCAAATAGTGAGCTCATCCGCCTAATCAATAATGCCATCAAAAATGACTTGTCTAGCCGCAACCCCACCTTCATGGGACTGGCTCTGCATTGTATTGCCAATGTAGGTAGTAGAGAGATGGCAGAGGCCTTTGCTGGAGAGATCCCGAGGATACTGGTTGCTGGGTAAGAATGTTTTTTTTTTTCTTTCACTTTTGCTCAATTATAAATGCATTTATTTTAAAACAAAGCTCCATTTCCATTGTTTAAATCTTAGCTGCAGTCCTGGAAGGTATCCTGTTTCCATTTGCATATCTTGTTTCCTTCACTGCTTTTTCTCTGTGCTGTGATGTTTCTTAGTCTTCATTGCCTGTTGGCACCCAGTAACACACGGCCTCCATGTCATTAATATGCTCCACTGTAGTTCTCAGGACTAGAGGGACAACCCAATCATGCCAGTGCTGCTACCAGTACAGCTAGATGAAGGCACATTCCCAGCTATGACACTAAATCCTCAACCAGGCATCACTATAGTGACGTGTATTACGGAAGACAACATGTACTAGCAGGTGTTGCACTTCCTGCGTGAGGATGGGACGGCTACTTTGGGGGAAGAGAATACGCTGTTATGTGGGTTGTAATATGACCTTTTAGGTTAGCCTGAAAGTATAGTGCTTGTACTGGGTGCTTGAGTGAGGAAATGCACAACAGACTGATTAAATCCAATTTTATTTGCAGTTCCCATTTTATCTTTCTAATATAGAAAAGGAGAAAATTGGATGACGTTTTAAAACAGCATTCGGAGAAGAATGAAATGCTATACTTTGAGTTTACAAAAATGACAATCTCCAGTTAAAGGACAAGTTCACCTTTTGCAAAAAAGATAAAAGAAATGCATAATTTAATATTTAAGAAAAATATGAATTTCTTTAATATTTGCATTCAAGCCTGGAAAGCATTACAATTGTGATCACTCGATCACAGCTGCAAAGCTCAGGCTTCTACATATTCTCTCCCAGGCAGAGCTCATACTGAGGTTCGAAGTTTCAGTTTGGAGAGATGGGGGAAGGACTGCTGGACTTCAAACTGCATTAAATCACCTCATACAGCGTCTAGCCATCCTCGCTCTAGGTAGATGGGGGAATATGGACAGCTCTACCGCATTTAACCAGAGGGAGGACGGCTGGATGCTGTATGAGGTGATTTAATGCAGTTTGAAGTCCAGCAGTCCTTCCCCCATCTCTCCAAACTGAAACTTCGAACCTCAGTATGAGCTCTGCCTGGGAGAGAATATGTAGAAGCCTGAGCTTTGCAGCTGTGATTGAGTGATCACAATTGCAATGCTTTCCAGGCTTGAATGCAAATATTAAAGAAATGCGTATTTTGTTTATATATTATGCATTTCTTTAATTTTTGGAAAAGGTGAACTTATCCTTTTAGTGTGAAGAACTGTGGGGATAGAAATATGATGGTTGCCAGCATGCAGGTTGTGTCCCAATATTTTTCTGCCTACATGCTTAGTTCAGGTCATTGACTGGTAGTAGTTAAGCAAAGATAACGTTTACGCCCCTTGTGCGTTACATCTTTTTAGAAGCTTTCAGCTATCATATTCCTATCTTGGCAAGCTTCCTTTAACGTGATATGTGCCCAAATCATGCACAACAAAGTATTTACATATTTTGAAAAAGCAGTAAACAATCCCACGATCATGTCACTTGTCTTTTTATATATATAAGCATCCTAAAGAAAACCATTTTTCTAGGTTCACAACACAGGCAGTGGGTTTTTCTATGGGAACAGATATTTGTAGCCTGCCAGTCCTATAATGTAAACAACCAGAAGGTGTTTGCTAAGCAGTTGGAAAGGACTGAAACTCAACTCATTTGAGTTGTCTGCCTACCGCAGGTAAATTGAGCTGAAAACGCATTGCACCGCATGGTAAGAGGTTATCATGCAATATTGGGTGATGTAACACACATGCGATGGGTGCATTGGGGTACCACGCAGTCTCGCATAACATAAATATGGATCCTTATTCAGCACAGTAGTCTCCCTGCAGTGGTCGTGCACACCATTACCAGCCCATCCCTCACCTCCACCAACTCTAGGTAGCAGGAAGCATGAACTTTTTCTGATTGGAGAGCTGCAGCTTTGATTAGATAGGGAAGCTTGTGGGATCACTGCAAAGAGGTTGCTGATTTCCCAGAGAACACCGCAGTCTTGCTCTTTAGTCCAGACACAGGAGATCTGGATAGTTTTTTTTTCTGCTGAATTAAGTACTAATATACGAGTAAAAATGTATTAGCAGCAGGTGGTGTGTAGAGTGCAGCTAAATTCATAACATAAAACTGATGTATAAATCATCGCAAGCTCTCCGCTTCAGTTCTGTTCATGCCAAGTATCAGCTAATTTCCACACAGTCATTTTGATACTATAGTATCATGGACATCACAATAACAAATCTGTGCTGTAATGAAAGTATCTATCTAGTTGTAACAACTGGGAGAAACAGAAAATGTTGTATTCACAGACCGCTGTCCGCTGAGAATCTTCTTTACGCAGGTAAGGATAGTGTCTCTTACTCTTAGGCCTCATTCACACACAATGCAAACAAAATTGTATATTGCGTATATACGTGCACTATATGCAATCCCAGAATGCATCACTCTTAATGGAATTTTTAATGTGCTGTACGCATGTACGTGCGTATATACGCTGCCCGGATGCATCTCTGTTCCATTCTGTTTTTGTGCATATATACGCTACGCAAATATACGGCTCCATACGCGGCTGTGTGTATGGAGCCATTTATTTGCATATGTTGCATATGGTACAATACGCACACACGTACGCGCGGCAGTGTGAATGAGGCCATAAGGGATAAGGTATTTTCTGCTCTGCTGTTAACTTTCCTTCTAGATAATAAATCGCATCTGCTGCTCTCACTGCAGGCTTGCACAGTGGAATCCAAGATCTGTGCATCCACACACTGTCGGTGCAGCCACAATCCCAATAGCAGATTCTTGCTCAAACTCCCTCTTTGTTCATGGCCTGAAAGTCCTTCAGCTGGAACTCACTGCAAGAGGTATCAAAGCACAAATAGTGTAGGCCCTAAGGTATAGAAAGGAAATGTTTTAATATACTCGCATTCGGATTACAATTAAAAGCATCACATCTATATCCAGACCCAGGTTTCACCAGAAGAGGATTTTTTCAGGAGACAGACCCCCTCTGCTAAAAACCCAATAACCCCATAGATATCACACTGTTGTGTAGTATGCATAGATCACACTACCAAATAAAACAAATCACATAACATGTTTTCAAAATATAAATAACCAATTACACTTCTAAGGGCTTGTTCACACCGAAAGCGTGTGCGTTCCAGAGCGGTAGCTGCTGGAATCCACCGCGATCGTTAAGAATGGTGGTGCATTGAATTAAACGCCATGTCCTCCCGCCCGCAGTGCGTTTGGACATGTGGCAAAACTTTGTCTCCATTCCACTGCAAACGCAAAAAAAATAGGGCTTGCTCTATTTTTTGCATTTGCAGTGGAACGGAACACTGGCAAAGTTTTTCCACGCGTCTGATCGCACTGGGGGGGGGAGGGGGTGCGTGGAAGCGGTGCCAATTAATTCACTGCACCGCCACACCCCCTCCCGCCCCAGAACACGGGGGAGGTTTCTTAGCAATCGCGGAGCGTTCCAGCAGCTACTGCTCTGGAACGCACACGCTTTCGGTGTGACCAAGCCCTGAAACTAAACTTGCGTAGTTAAAACAAGTAATAAAAGATCTGTTTGCTATTGTGATATTCCGTACCATATATTTATCTTTACTAAAACAATTGAAAAAGGTGAAATTGATGGAGAAAAAGCTTAAGGGGAAAACTAATGCAGCTCCACATTTTAAAGTGACACTTAACTGGATTAAATCTTAAAAATGCATTCCTTGAATGTAGCCAACTGTACCTTCTACAGCCAGATACAGCTCCCATAGTTTATTATTATTATTATTATTATTATACAGGATTTATATAGCGCCAACAGTTTGCGCAGCGCTTTAGGGACCGAGATTGTGCAGCGTTTGTGCTGGTGTCACAGCAATCTCTCCATGCATCTGGCTACATAGGGAGCGATTCAATAGGGATAGACAGGTTTGTAAGTGGTGCTGCTGCTGGCAGTTTGTCTCTAGTGACAGAATTGCCCATCTGACATCAGCCTTTGGAGTGGGAGACGTTTTTTATTTCATAAAGAGCATTGTCTGCTATCCGTGGTCTTTGAGTAAAATCTACATGGCTGCAGATGTTACTTTCTGTTTCTCCCAGTTGCTACAACTAGATACTTTGAATACAACATACGTTTGTTATTGTGATGTCTATGATGATATCTATAGTATCAAAGTTATTGTGTTTGTGGAAAATAGTGGATACTTGGCATGAACAGTTGGATTCAAGGTGGGGAGTATGGTGTGCTTTTAGGCCTCATTCACACTGCCGTGCTTATACTCGCGTATTGTACCATATACAGCATATGCAAATAAATGGCTCCATACACATAGCTGCGTATGAAGCCGTATATTTGCGTAGCGTAAAAATGCGCAAAAACGCATAGATGCGTCCGGGCAGCGTATTTCTGTGTATTTTACGCGCATACACGCGTGTTTGCATGCATATACACGCGTACAGTTCATTAAAATTTTCTATTACGAATTATGCATTCTGGGATTGCAAATAGTGCACGCATATACGCACATGTATGCGTATATACGCAATATACAATTTTGCTCTTGCGTTGTGTGTTTGAATGAGGCCTTATAATAATTTAAAGTAAGCGATGGGATAAAATCTCGGTCTAAACCTGGGTCAAGCTTGTTGCTCTCCTTGGTCATAGTGGATAAAGAGCCAGTGTCTTGTTTTGTGAAGCTTTTACCTGTTTCTCAGTATGGTTAGAATTGACAATGCTGAATTCATTACAATGAAATGTTCTCCATTTTCATCACCACTGGGTGTCCCTGTGCACTAAAGTAAATGTTGTCATACAGTATTCTTGGTAGATATTTTAAACTAGAATATTGTTATGAACTTGAAAAGAATTAAATAATCACCAGTCGTTTTTTGCTTTCTTTAATTGAACTAGTGCTTTCATTGAATAAATGTTTTTCCTTTTAAAATAACACGTTGGTAAATGAAACCTGTATTTTATACAAGGTCGCTATGGTTTGTTCTATGCAATGTCTCTACTCCAGTTATTTTTGTATGTTACCAGAGACACCATGGACAGTGTTAAACAGAGTGCTGCCCTCTGCCTCTTGCGCCTCTACCGCACCTCTCCTGACCTGGTGCTCACCAATGAGTGGACTTCACGCGTAGTGCATCTGCTTAATGACCAACACCTGGTAAGGCAGTCAGAAAATGGGCTTGTTTTTTATTCAATGTAGAACCGGGTCCCTGAAGATGGCGGACGCGGCACAGGTACTCGTTTTATGTTTTGGAGTATTTGCACGAGTACGAGTACTCATGCAAATACTCGGTATAGCGGCCGATACCGATGCTTGTATCGGTATCGGTGCATCCCTAATATTAAGGTGTTCTTTTGTAGTTTTCGGAAAATTAGCTTTTTAAAAAAAAACATAATAATTTCAATGTAGAGAAAGTTACAAGGACACTGGAGTTCTGGAAAGTTAATTATTTTTTTGCAATTGCAGAGAATGTACTTCACCTGAAAAAAAGAAAACCAATGCAGTCATCACATCTAAGAACTAGTAATCTGCAATATATAACATTTTTGGTTTTGGGTTTTTAATATAATTTTGACTTTTACTAGACACGTGCATCCACACACATTGATATACCCCTTAGTGTAGTCGTAGTACAGTACAGGTCACAGTAGAATATCTTTGCAGTTCTTCATAGTGGATAATTTTCAGGTGTTTTTAGGCAGTGGTGCCTGAGGTTTGTATCCTATGCACAGCCAAGTATAATGCATATCAGTTACATATATTTTATGTGCATAGGTAGGGGTCCCTAGCTCTCAATAACAGGTTCTTCTAGGTGTCATAAGTACTTGCAATTGCGCAGGCTTAATTCCATTGAATAGTGTCTGTTTTCAGGCACGTGTAATCAGCTGTACTCCTGTATGCACAACAATTGCCCATAAGCAGAAAAAAAAATTTGGTCATTTTTAAGTCACTGTTTGCACTTTTGTCTCATTAATTTAATAATCCTTTCAGAAAAATATGAATATTAACATTTTGAGTTTATTTTCTCTTTCAGGGAGTAGTAACTGCTGCCACCAGTCTGATAACCACCCTTGCACAGAAGAACCCTGAAGAGTTTAAAACATCAGTTTCCTTGGCAGTGTCCCGTTTGAGCAGGGTAATCTTGAACTTCTTAACAGCTTCAGCGTCATACTTTCTAATGCCAGACCTCCCTCTACCATGTGTTAGCTTTTATTACAGCTTTGCTTCATAAAATATATTTTTCTGGCTTTCCAGCCAACATTAGTAGGGAAGGTACAAGTCTATTTTTCTTGGCCTGCTTTTCACTGTTAAAATTGGCCCAAACTTTGCTGGTCGTAAAAATTTGGGCAAGATGTAATGGACAAAAATCCATTTAATGTTAAAGGGTAATTATACTAAATTTTCTGTCTGGTTTGTGTGAAAGACTGTTTAATTCTATTCATGGTTAATAGTAAAAATGTTTCACGTGGTATTCTGAACAGGAAATATTTAATACAATGGTAAATAGTAAAGAGAGAGTTGTTCCATATGCAAAACCAATATTTTGCTTCATTGTCCTTCTGATAAAAAAAGAAACTTGGTACTTTATATGGTGTGTAGAATAGACCCATAGGCTAAACAGCGCACATGTCTAATTTCCTTACAGGTATTGCATGTGTTTGGTTTTTTTTTGCCTTTGTTTCTTTTTTGCTTTCACACAGTACATTTTTTTTCTTTTTGTTTGTTAAATAATTATAGCGGACAGTAGCCAGCTATATGCTGAGTTTTGGGTTACAGAAGGACATTAGTAAATGTCCTCATGCGCCTCTAAAAAGCACTATTGCTAAAAAAGGTTTTAGGTTTAGTTGTCTTTTTATAAGTTGTACACCTTAATCTTTTAATCCAGTACCAGGGTTTAAAATTGCAGTTATACTTTTAATATTTTCTCTTGGAACATGGTAGGTTTTAGTACAGCGCTATAAACCAATCTTTACCTGAGAATGATAGCCAGATCTGAAGTAAGTATAGGTAATATATGACGCAGTTGGTGGCAATTTGTGCAGCCTTTTTACATTGTGCACTGCATGAACTTGTCCCACTATGAACAGTAGTTTTATTACATCCAACATACCTGAGTTTTTTCTTTAAACTATGGATGCACAGATACTTTTCGAGTACCAGTGCAGATACTTGGCATTTTCATGAGAACTACCAGGGTTGCAGCTGGGACCTGGCTCTGGCACTCCACCACTGTCCTGAAATCATTAGTCTGTATTGTTTTAGAAAAACTGTCACATGACAATAAACAAAAATGTATCAGTACTCGTACTTGTAAGTACTCGGTAGGTGCCAGTACTCGTACTCGCAAAACTGGTATCTGTGCATCCTTTTATTTATATTTATAAAAACAAAATCATACATTAAAACAGAGATGTACAAATCCCAGGAGCTCCGTGTGCTCAGTACAAATGACAGCTGCCTCCCAATTTTTGAATTTTTCTCTGGTCTAGTCTTGGAGCTCAAAAGTATCGGTACATGTACTCGTACTTGTACCGAGTACTGTACTTGGTATCTGTGCAACTCTACTTTAAACATACTGTTTCAGTTATCTTCTACTTTTTTTTTTTAGTAGTTCCCATTTATGAACAGAGTGGTGCAACACCAGTACCATTAATTTAGATTATGAAGCTGGCAGTTTTATTTCCCATGTACCTCTGTGTAATAACATTTCTTTCTGTTGTGCCTTTTCCTAACTGTCTTGGGTGTAGAGCCCATCTGCGTGTACCAAGGAGCTATCTCTGCTTGGCTGCATTCAGGCATTTGTCTTGTTGCATACTGTCATTATAAACTAATTGTTGTGTGTTTCCATTTTCAGATTGTGACTTCAGCCTCCACAGATCTGCAGGATTACACATACTACTTTGTCCCAGCTCCCTGGCTTTCCGTGAAACTTCTAAGGCTGTTACAGTGTTATCCTCCCCCAGGTAACAATATGTCAGAGCTCTGAGACCAGTGTACAAGCAGTATCCTATTCATTCTTAATGACGCCTACTTGCAGCTCCGCAGACTGGCATAGTTTTTCATTTAGATACCTATCCTGTTAATATATCATACCTGTAGTATTGTTTTGGGCTTTGTCCTGCATTTAGCTATTCCTTCTTCTTTATTTTTGTAATTTACAGCATGCCTTGTATAATCATGTATGTAGCTCCAAAGAATTCCTGTAACACATGCAGCCTTATCTCATGTCTTGGTCATTTTCATGAACAATTTTAGAGTTGTCTTTTATTCTGTTGTGGCCCACATTTTCCACATTAAGAACATGCTGCATGACCATGAGACATATTTTGTTACATGACCAAGTTTAGCATATTTCTCTCCCGTTCATTGAAGGACACAGGGAACAGATCGGAGATCATGTAAAACTGCGGCGGAAGCCGGGTCCTTCCTTTTCCGCTCATAAGCGGCTTTTTCGTCTGCCCCCGCCCTCTGGGAAGGTCGGGAAGTTCAACAGGCCACCGCCTTCCCAGACCGCTAAGCAGGCCTGGCAGCCCAGGACCGCCAAGCCCCAGGGTAAGCCCCCCTCGGCATGAAGGCCTGCCCCCATCCCAGGATTCCAGGGTGGGGGGGTGTCTTCGGCTCTTTGCGGGCCGCTGGCTGTCCCGCGTCTCCGACACCTGGGTGCGGGAGTTGGTGTCCTCGGGCTACAAAATAGAATTTCTGTCCCGTCCCGAGGACCGGTTCTTCCCTTCCAACATCCGCCTCCCTCCGCAGCGCCTGGCGGATCTTCATGGTGCGGTGGCGGGTCTCCTATCCCAAGGGGTGGTTGTTCCAGTTTGGGGCGCAAAGTGTTGCAGGCAGCCGTTTGAGGGGAAAAATTGTTGTTTTTAGTTGGGTTGTTTTCTGTTGGCCCACCCCTCTTTTTTGGTACTGCTCTGTGACGTCCCTACAGTACATGATCTCCGATCTGTTCCCTGTGTCCTTCAATGAATGGGAGAGAAAATAGGATTTTGGTACTCACCGTAAAATCCTTTTCTCTCCGTTCATTGAAGGACACAGGGCCCGCCCCTCTATGTGGGTGTGTACTCCTTTACTGCTTGTTGCTAAACTGGAGACTTGTCAGCAGGTGGGGGGTTTGGCCACCAGCAGGGGCCGCCCCTAGGCTGTAATTGGTCTTTAGTTTTTTGTGCCTAGCGTCCTTCTCCTGCAGGTGGCAATATTACCCTACAGTACATGATCTCCGATCTGTTCCCTGTGTCCTTCAATGAACGGAGAGAAAAGGATTTTACGGTGAGTACCAAAATCCTATTTTTAGGAATGATCAGTACTCTGGTAGATGGACAGCAAATCTCTGAGTGGAGTGAATAGGAATTATGTGGTAGAAATGATGGAGCTGGTTTTGGAGCTCCCACACCCACCCTGCATTTGTCTTGGTATCACCCTTTTGCAGTTTCTTGTACAGAATAGCAATGTGATCCAGTCAGTGTGCTGCATAAAAAATTTGCTGACCAGTAACATGCTGAGGGGAGAAGAGAGCAAAGTGTGATTGAACAGTAAATGAGAAGCAGTACGCTCATGTGTCGGACAGGGGGCAGAGACAAGACCTAACTGTATTAGAGAAAACTTAGGTGAACAGGCTAGCAGTGTAGTGTGAAGGGGCTGTTTATATCTCAGGAAAATATGGAGAAAAATACAAATTGGTTGGCAGGTAAAATAACTGCTGTATATATATTTCTTCCATGCATTTTAATATTCGCCCAGATATAAAGTCCACAAATACTCGGCTCCGCTCCAGTGATATATTAGCAGCTCCCTCACTGATGCCAAAATCTTTTCCCTGGCTACTTTCGGGTGCTGGGTCTTTGGCCGTTTTGATTGGCCAAAGGGGGAATGACGCAACCTACGCACATGTGCATATGAGTTTAATAATTCCATCACCAAGGCGTGCCGAGAATGTACAATGAGCTGCACATGCACAGTGTACATTCTGAAAGATTGCAAACAGAAAGGAAAGTTTTGAAATATTTTGAATCCAGTCAGTGTCAACAGTGAAAATGCATTTCTGACACTGTCAGTACAATAATTAAATTGGTTTATACACATACTAGCCTTGGGCTAATTCTACAAAACCGATTTCCTCAGTGTCAGATGAATGAAACGCTTATTCCTTCTGTATTTTGTCCTCTTTCAAAAAAAGATGAATAAGGACCATTAGATTGTATTTGGATATAAACAGTAAAGCCAAACTCCTGGCAGATAAAAATAAAGCATCAATGATGTTATGTCCTTATAAATTAATGAATTAATCTGTCTTACTAGCCACCTCTTGTTATGCCGATCAATTTCAGAGAGGGACGGACGGCACTAGGAATCATTTAGAGACTGCAGAAGTTTACATGCTCTAGCAGGAGTAGAGAGCAGAGGAAGGGCCTCATCTCTGCCATTTTCATTCCATTCACCAGACTGGCGTGTGTTATTGACCAGTGCTTTTCTGCTACTGCAGTAGATCAGGGGTAGGCAGTCTCCTGTCCTCCAGCTGTAGTGGAACTACAAATAGTATTAGGTATTGCAAGACTGACAGCCAAAGGCATGATTCCCATAACCAGATATGTAATGGAATCTGTAGTTTCACCACAGTTGTAGGGCTGGAGGTTGCCTACCCTTGCAGTAGAGGTTGAAGATTTGTCTTTTATGTCTCGCAGGGGTTCCTGGATCAAAAACTGGCTTATAAAAACAAATCATTTGCCAAGCAAAACAGTTCAATCTGAACCCCAGTCTTACTTTGTTTTTGCACAGTTGTACAGGCACTTCTCCTGCACTGGAATAGCTTACACTGTTTTCACTGCAAGTTGTAAGCTTCTCGCAGAAGCCAGATAGCGCTCGCCTCATTTCCGGGCTGTAGGACATCTAGCACTATCTAGCTCTCTTCTCCATAGCTTTGATATCCCTGGCCCCACCTTTTTCACTTATTGGATTCAGTTCTTCCAATCATAGTCTCATCATCACTTGTGGGAGTTGCCACAGCTTCATGTTTTCAGGAAGCTGTATACAGCACCCCACTGGTCCTTCCCACCAGCCTTCAGCTACCTGCATTGCACAGAGAAACAAAAAAAATCTAGGGATGATGTTACTGGGTTTTAAATAATGTGTGTAATCGCATTAGCATGTCAATGAGGGAGAAGGAGGAACCAGGGAAAGCAAAACATAAGCAGATTAAACCTTTTTTTAATCAAATGCAGTATATGTAGCTTTGGCTACTCTTTTTTACTCTTTTTTTCTATTTTTTTTTATGGACTATTGAAGAAAAAAAATCATCAAATGTAGCTGTAATGTTGGAGTCATCTGGGCTTGTTTATAAGGCTAGACTACCTTCTAACATCATGCATGTTTGAATTCCATCGTTTTAAAATGGCACAAGTATACCCAGACTAGCCATAAACTCACACACACACCCTTCAGCCAATGGCAAAGATCTGACACTTCCTGGTAACTTAAAAGCTTGTCCGTGCCCTCATTCCTGTGCACCCATCACTGTCCTGGGCTACCTCTCTGCCCATGAGAAATATATGGAAGGCTTTACCTGGTCAGAATTGCACAGTATTCAGACAGAGCAGGGGTACTGAAAGCTCTTGAAGAGATACCTTCATAGGTGTAAGCAGCTTTAAATGGGCAAAAGCTTTCTGAGACAGCGTTTACAAGAAAAACCATAGTCAAATATATGATTTTGACTTTTTAATAAACCAATCCCTACTAATGCTTGCATGCACATACCTTGCTTCACTGTCACACTCAGTTAAATTTTACTATTACAGAGGACCCCGCTGTGCGAGGACGACTTACAGAGTGCTTGGAAACCATTTTGAACAAAGCCCAAGAGCCCCCGAAATCCAAGAAGGTGCAGCACTCTAACGCCAAGAATGCTGTGCTCTTTGAAGCAATCAGCCTAATTATTTATCATGACAGGTGAGTTTAGGTGTACTTATAGATGTTTAATTAAATGTCCCACTAGAAAATGGATGCCTTGGTTTGTTAGAACTAAAGGGCTGATGTTAGAAATGAGAATTGGAAGACTGTTTCTGTTGGCATCAAGGTTTTTATTTCTTATTTTGAATTGAATGCGAGGGACCCCAAATACAGACTGCCTTTTCGGAAAAACACATCCTATTAGCAAGTTAAACTAGCTCTAAAATAAAAAGTTGACAGCAAGAGGGTTTTATTTTTTGTTTTTTCTTCCTGTTTAAAGTGTACATGTAGAAAAACCACAGACAGTTTAAATACAAACTGCCTGGCCAAAAAAAAAACCTCACACACTAATATTTTGTTGGACCACCTTTTGGCTTCATTACGCATTCTCAGTGGCATTGTTTCAATAGGCTTATGCAATGTCACAACGTTTATTTCCATCCAGAGTTGTATTAATTGTTCACCAAGATCATGTAGTGATGATGGGAGGGTCAGACCACTGCATAAAGTCTTCTCCAGAACATCCCAAAGATTCTCAATGAGGTTATGGTCTGGCCAATCCATGTTTGAAAATTTTATGTCTCCTGTTCCCTGAATTACTTTCACAATTTGAGCCCAATGAATCCTGGCATTATCCTCCTGGAATATGTCTGTGCCATCATGGTCATTCAGTATATTCAGGTAGGCAGCTGATTTAAATTTTTGGGGACACAACATTGCTGAACGTAGACTTGACCAACTGAATAGAGCTGCAGCTAACGATTATTTTCAAAATCGATTAGTTAGCCGATTATTACGTTCGATTAATCGGATAAAAAATAAAATCAAATAAATGGCTCCAGTGATGGACTACTAGTTTGAATTGAGTGTAGTCCATCACAGGAGCAAGCTTGGAGCCGTGGAAGTAAAAAAGAAAACAAAAATGTGGTGTGCTTTATAGTGGAACGAAAAGTGTAAAATTATACAGCAATGAATGCAGAATGGCACCGGCTATAGAGGACTACAAATCCCAGCAATAGTACATTATAGCTGGTGGTATTCTGCATTGCGCCGTATAGAGGACTACAATTCCCAGCAATAATGCATTATACAGCGCAATGCAGAATACCACCAGCTATAATGTACTATTGCTGGGTTTTGTAGTCCTCTATAGCTAGTGGTATTCGGCATTGCACCACTGTATAATGTATTCCTGGGATTTGTTGTACTCCTATATAGCTGGTGGTATTCTGCATTGCGCCGTATAGAGGACTACAATTCCCAGCAATAATGCATTATACAGCGCAATGCAGAATACCACCAGCTATAATGTACTATTGCTGGGTTTTGTAGTCCTCTATAGCTAGTGGTATTCGGCATTGCACCACTGTATAATGTATTCCTGGGATTTGTTGTACTCCTATATAGCTGGTGGTATTCTGCATTGCGCCGTATAGAGGACTACAAATCCCAGCAATACATTATAGAGCACCATGTGTGGGAAAGTGCAGGCTTACCTGAGTAAGTCTTCCAGCAACTTGCTTCTGGGATCGGACCTGTTTATCGGCGGCTGTCATCCCCCCACACCTGCTCCTCCTATTAGTTGTTGCAGCCCTACAACTGAAGCAACCCCAGCTCATAACACTTATCTAATGGAAGGCTTTTTACGTTTATGAAATCCAGGTGGAGCACTTTTCTTTTTTTTTTAATGGGGGGTTGGGTGCAGTGTATGTGAACTGCTGTTTGACAAGTTGTAAGTCTCTTCAGTCTTTTTTGTCTAATTCAAACAGCCTGACCCTATGCAAAGTCCTACATTTAACTTCTATCTACTGCAATATAATCAATACAATCAAAGCAATATAGCTTGGTCAAGACTATGAAAGAATATCAGCTTGCAGAAGAGGTCACCTTTGTTCTGTCCTCTTCAATCAAAATACAATGTTTAAGACCTACAACATTGCATATTGCAGTAAAATTTCAGTTCTGCCCCTTATTGTTTAAAATACCACCTAGGTATTTTGTTAGCGAGTACATGATTGGTTATATGGGTGCCTTTTTTATATCTTTCTACATTTATATTTTTTTCCAATGAAAACATTTATGCTCTTATTATTGATTCTTGAGAGTGTTTGCTCTTTTTTTTTTCCTTCCTATTTTCATTTTACTTAGGTGCATTACCTCAAGTTTTGCATTCTGTATCTCAGCCAAAGTGCCCAGATCCCTCTCTGGCCCTTAGAGCCAGTGTTTGGCCAGTATGACATTTCTAGACAGGTGATAAGTGTTTTGCATTGTATGCAGTATCATGGGATGTTTGCTCATTAATCTCGGAAGACTGCAAACAGAACAATCCAGGCTTCACAAAATGTTCCCATTGTACAGTCGTCATCCTTGTATTGTTTAGATGCTAGCTGCTTTATAGCATGTTAAAATGTTCTTGAATTTGCTCCAACAAAAAGAGAAATGTGTACTTCACACTTTTAAAATAAGAGATTTTGCAGACTAGATTATCGGAATCTGACAGTAGTTAAATATAAATCATTTGAAGTCAAAGCCATAGTGTTATTGCTATTGATTTGTTGGGTTTAGGTTTATATTACAATCCTAGCTTGTTCCAGTTTCAAAGTGATACATGTTACATATCCCCTCGGGGCAGAAAAGAATAAGCTACTAATAAATGAAAGCATTGTCATGCTTATTTATTAAGAGAGTGCAAAGAACAGTTATAATGCACTACAGTCCATAGTAATCAATGTAAATTCTCCTTGCGCTCATCAGAAAAATGAAATTTGATTAGTTGTTCTGGACTTGGCATGTCATAACTGATTTTTATATTTCCTTCTGAATAACAGGAGAAATGATTAGAAATATAGACTTCCATTCCCTTTCTCTCCTTTCCTTTCTTTCCTTTCTGTCCTGCCCATCGTATTTGCCCTGCCTGAGCCGCCCATCGTATTTGCCCTGCCTGGGTATGTCTTCCTCTATTTTAGTAGCCACTGGCTGTGCGTGCTTGTCACCACATCATTACATGAAGAGGTGGAAATAATCTTTTGATTGGATGAGCAGGAGGACAGCAACATTAGCCCATGCATTCATCCAGTGAAGGTTTCCAGTAAGTAGATCACCTTCTGGATTTAGTGGTTACCCAGGCTTGGGATAACGAGGTTGGATCAGACATATGGGTGCGCAGCAGTAAATCTGAGTTATGCAATGCCTGCAGTCCACCTTATAGGACTTGGCTGACCACCAACTCTTCCATTTTCTACAGCTGCCTCTGCCTGTTTTTTCCAGTTAGAAATGATCCTCGCCAAGAGTTGTGGGTAATCATTTGACACAAGGGTCAGGCTATTGAAAGAAACTGTAATGCAAAATGGAGGAGGCTGTGTTCAACAAAAATAGAACCTTTTTAACTGACTGCAGCTCTGCTAAACATTTTACTGCTTAACCCATGTTCCCTATGCTACCCTCCAGTTTACTGTTCAGCCTGGAGCTCTAACAGCTGGAAGTGACAAGTTGCCTACACCCTCCTTAAGGACTTGTACTCAGTGCTAACACCAGCCTTCCCTCTTTGATCCCTCCTGTGATTACATTGTTCTCTATATGCCCACAGATCCTGTGAACAGGTACAGTTGTTCTCTGTGATGAACACAAGTGTATGTTATCATTAACTGTCAGATTACTAGAGTTCTGTTAGTGGGTATTGGCTTTTGTGTTCATGAGAGAGAACACAATTTTCTGGTACCCACAGCAAAGTACAAATCGAAGGGTCTAGAGAGGAACTCTTATGAGTGCAAGCCTTCAGCCATAGCAATCAACATATGTTGTAGCTTTAAACGCCACCTGCATTCAGGTCTTTCCAATTCTGCAGCTCTGAAGGGAGATATCAGCACTACAGCCTACCAGGCCATTACACATAGCCCATGTGTCTCTTCTATCCTGCTCTCCAGTGAGCCCAACCTGCTAGTCCGGGCATGCAACCAGCTGGGCCAGTTCCTGCAGCATCGGGAGACCAACCTGCGCTACCTGGCATTGGAAAGCATGTGTACCCTGGCCAGCTCCGAGTTCTCACACGAGGCTGTCAAGACACATATCGAGACCGTAATCAATGCACTAAAGGTGAGTTGCCAATATGAACTCAGGTGTCAATAGAATGTTAGTTGAAGTGCTTTGTTAAATGGAATTTGTGTAGATGTTTTCTGTCAAAGCTGATTCTCTGTGCTAGGGGCTTTTATTGCTGGACTCTCAGAAGCAGAGCTGGCTCCAGGGCACGGAGCTATTTTCTCCAAGAGTGACAAGGTTTCTGTAGTGACGTGGAACAGTTTTCCCTGGCATCATAATATGAGATGGATAATTATATTTTCATTGTAAATCTATTGTCTATCTCTTTGTAACTAGTGGGTAAACAAGTGTTTTGTTTCTGGAGTATAGTTGTGTGCTACTTGTCTGACTTAGTAGCGATTACTTGCTGCCGGTTTTAGTAAGTGATCACAAGTGTGCTCCTAACCTAAAGCTGGCCATACACATAGATTTTCTGCAGATTTTCTATGGTCAGATTTAAAAAGTGCAACAGATTCCTCCATCTACACTAAACTGTGTGGATGGAGGGATCTCCCGCTGGGCCAAGTTTCAGTATCTCCCTGGTCGGCCCCGCTGGCTTTCAAAATACCTGAACAATGCCTGCATCCAGTCAGATTGTTCAGGTATTTTGACAGCCAGCGGGGCCGACTAGCAAGATACTGAAGCTTGGCCCAGTGGGAGATTCCTCCACCCACACAGTTTAGTGTAGATGGAGGAATCTGTTGCACTTTTTCCATCTGACCATAGAAAATAAAGAACAAATGTGTTGTACCTAAAGTTTTTGACACTCAAAATGGATTGTTCAATTTAAACCTCTTACCTCATTAGGAAAAAGTATTGTCAGTATTAATCATGAAACAAATACTAATTATGGCCAAGAAAAAAGCACCTATAGTGAAAATTGTAATGTTCCTTTACATTGGTGGGCAACTGCCCTTGTAAATTGATGGTTAGTCGGGCAAAAGGTCCCCTTGCATTGGTGGTTAGTGGAACAAGGATCCCCTTCCATTTGTGATTTAGTGGGACACTGGTCTCTGCCTTGGCGGTTGGTAGGACAAGGGTTCCCTTGCATTAATGATCAGGGAAATGAATTCCTTATAATATTTGGGATCAATGTAGCGCCCCCTTAAATCAGCCACTCAGTGGGAAGAATTCCTCATTTACAGACAGTTGGAAAGATCATTTGATGTCAGTGAATACTTACCCGAGACAGCTTAGACAGGCTGAATTGGTTCCACTTTTTTGACTGTGCCGGGGGACATTGGTGCCAGAACTATGCATGCACAGTCAGGTGATGAATCTGACATTGCTCACTGCAAAAGACAACCTCTGGAGAAAACCCTAGGGTTCTACAGAACCCAAGGTCAAGAAGCTTTTTCTATACCTGTTGAAAACCAATGGGATGCTTTGGACTCTACCTCTAGAGTTTAGTAGATATGTGTAGTTTTAATACATGTAATTTCTGTTGTGTTATGTACCCCTTTTGTGTGCTAGCAAATACTTCAGAGACTATAAATTTATTTTCTTTACAGACAGAAAGGGACGTAAGTGTGCGACAACGTGCCGTGGATCTCTTATATGCTATGTGTGACCGCAGCAATGCTCAACAGATTGTAGCAGAGATGCTAAATTACTTGGAGACTGCAGATTACTCCATAAGGGAAGAGATTGTAAGAACTCTTAGAATACATTTAGTTTGGATTGATTACTTGCATACAAATGTACTTGTCATGACAGTTTTTTGTCTGTTTTTTATTTTTTTCAGGTTCTCAAGGTAGCAATCCTTGCCGAAAAGTATGCAGTCGATTACACGTGGTATGTGGACACTATCCTTAACCTCATTCGTGTAGCTGGGGACTATGTCAGTGAAGAAGTCTGGTACAGGGTTATCCAGATTGTCATTAACAGAGATGATGTTCAGGGATATGCAGCCAAAACAGTATTTGAGGTAAGACATGAACTATTTGCCTTGATTTTTCAAGGTAAGGTTGGCTAAAATATCACAAGCCTAAATGTGTCAGGCTTTATTAATATCTAGCAGGGAGAAGAGATGTGGAAAGCAGGAATAGATACTGGATACTAGTACCAGCTTTCTCAATTCAGAATGACTTGTACAAAAAATTATCTGGGAATAAAAAAATTTTTTGTACAAGTAATTCTGAATTGAGAAAGCTGGTCAAATGTCCAGTGAAACGTTTTCAAGAAAAATACAAGTCCAGTTGTCTTGACTTATTTTCTTTACAGATATACCATGAGGGCGGAGGGGGTGGCGCTTCCGGTCAATGGTATGGGCATGGGGAGATTTGTGTGGGTATGAGAGAAATGCAGATGGGTTAATTTACAGGCCAGCAAGAAACAGAATTCTGCTCAGATGTACTGGAGAGGAAGGGGAGGTGAAAGGGTAAAAACAAAAACCCACAATCAACCCTTCTACCCTAAGCCCTCGTTCACACCTGAACGTTTTGTAGCGCGTTCTACGCTCGACTAACGCTCTACAAAACGCTCAAACATCTAAATCCCATTGTATTCAATGGGTCTGGTTCACACATTGGCGTATTTCAGCCAGTCCCTAACACACTACAAAACGGCCCACGCCTGAAAAGGTACATGTACTACTTTGGGCTGTTTTTGTTGCGCGTTTCCATTGGTATACAGCCAAGTAGCCCTCGGAAATGCGTGTTTTTCACACGATTTTTTTTTACTGCGAATCGCGGTAAAAAAACGCGCATATGCACTACGCCTAGGTGTGAACCAGGGCTAAATCCACTAATTTGGAGCTAATGAGTGGTTAACTTATTTATTAGTTCCTCCTTCCTCTTGTTAGAAAAAGGGACGGGCTCTCAGATGTGTTTTTTTTTTTTTTTTTTTAACAGGTTAACTGAGGTTGGGTCTACAGAAGGTCCCGCACTAACTGACATTGTAATCCTAATATATGCTTTTTTTATTTTATGACCATTTTTGGTTTACTTTTCTTTGCATATTATTTTTTTTTCAGGCTCTCCAGGCTCCTGCCTGTCATGAAAATCTGGTCAAAGTTGGAGGATATATTTTGGGCGAGTTTGGTAATCTAATTGCTGGTGATCCACGTTCTAGGCACGTTTAAACTTATGAATAATGATGGTATTTTATTGTGCACCAAACACCTATATTTGCGTGTCCCCTTTATTACATAGCTCTGTTATTTTCTGGGGGTGACGAAGCACATATAAATGAATATGCAGATCATTGCATGTCTATGAATGCAGTGAAGATCTATGTCTGTTTTCAAACCTTTTATTTTTGTTTTGTAATTTAGCTGTTGAATCGCAGAGATAAAAGCCATAGGTTGCCTTGCAAGCACCGCCGGCTCCACAAAAGTCGATTTTCAAGTTGACCAAGCTGGGTGGGAATTTATCAGACAAACAGTGTCTGCATCCTATCGGATACAGTCATTGTTCAGCAATACCATTCTGTTCAGACAGCCATGGGTGCCTGAATACAATATCCACCAGTGGAGATTCCTTCATCTGTGCTGTTAGCGCGGATGGGATGGGGGTATCCATAGATTTTCTCTCGCTCAACCCGCAGGCAGAACAAGAGAAAATCAAGCCGTCTAAAACCATCCTGAGTAGCACAAAAACATTTTACATAAAGTAAATACATTAGATTGTTTAGTCACATTTGAGTTATTCCAAGTATTTTTTTTCCATACAGTGAGTTAGAATTTTTCTTTAATTTTGTTTTCTTTGTTTTTCTCTACAGCCCTTTGATCCAGTTTAATCTTTTACACTCAAAGTTCCATCTTTGCAGTGTACCTACCAGGGCTCTGCTGCTCTCGGCCTACATAAAGTTTATTAACCTCTTCCCTGAGATTAAACCCACCATCCAAGATGTGCTACGAAGTGACAGCCAGCTCAGAAATGCCGATGTGGAGCTTCAGCAAAGAGCTGTGGAATATTTGCGTCTAAGCTCAATCGCCAGTAATGACATCTTGGTATGCCCACAGGGAGAATTCTTGAGTAATAGAGACTGACGTGTTAGCAGCATGACTCATTTTGTGTTCAAGCAGTAATGTTTTTATGCAATGTTTATGGAAGTCCTTCCATAAACTGCCCTGTAAAGAACAACTATCTATAGGGTGACATGTCTTGAAACCTCGCCCTTCCAGGTGGGTCAAATACCTGCTCCCCCTGCCAAACCCAGTGAGGGGGAGCAGGTAATTACACACAGAGATGTTTGTGAATACCTAAAGCTGCCAAGGAGCAGTGAAGTGGTGGCCTTTCAGGACACGTGCCATCAGAAAGCGTGTGTGGATGTGCTTTACAGGGCCAGGTGACCAGGTCACTGTTTGCCCCTCATCTCCCGTGACAGGACTATAACTTTTAGGCTTGGTGGTCATTAGCAATTAAACAAAAGAAAATTCAGCATAAATGACTACTTTATGCCCCATGAATGTTCAGTTTGGAGATATCCGCTGAATTTAATGAATGCATATTGACCAAAGTCATTGCTTGATTTAACCATAACTGGCCTGATTGGGCAAACATTTTCGAATACTTGTAGGCAAACATATTCTGTTAACGTCTGTAAGCATTTTAAGGCATTGTTGTGCTTTCAAAATGTTAAAGTTTGAAATTTTTCTGTTTTTAAGGCCACTGTTTTGGAGGAGATGCCGCCTTTCCCTGAACGGGAATCCTCAATCTTGGCCAAGCTGAAGAAAAAGAAGGGTCCCAGCACAGTCACTGACCTGGAAGACACAAAGAAGGAGAAAAACAGCTCTGATGTGAATGGGGGCACTGAGCCCGCTCCTGTTAGCACATCGGTATGTTACTATTTAGAGAGGTGATGCACATGTATTATCTGCTGCAGTATAGAAATCCAACTAGCCTGAGTGTTGTGTTTGACATAGGTGGGTTAGAGTTTGCCCTCTTTAATGTATTTATATAGAATTAGGGTAGGTGCAGACAGCTGCTTAACAGGCTCTTTAAGACCTGCCTGTATCTAACTGCTTTTGTCAATGTTATGTGTAGGATCTCCATAGGACATAGCCATGATGAGATGCTTTGCACAACATTCAGTTAAACAGTCAAGCACACAAGCACACAGCAGTGCTGCTGCTTGAACAAGAAATGAACCAGTGCACCATATACGTAGTCTTTGGAAAGGGGGCACTACGACTGGTGTGAGCGCAACCTAGTTTAGGATAAGGCTTAGTTGGCCCTTTTAAATGGCCGTTAACGTGTATTAGCACTATAGGTCAAGCAGTAAATAAACTGGGTGTGCGTATTGTACATACCTGGAATTTAATGTGTTTTTGTTTATCCCTTTTGATTAAGCATCAGTGTTCCCTCCTTGAAGAACAAAGCATCTTTGTGGTGCGCCCTCGTCCATCTTCCCTCCTGGCACCCCTCTCATCTAGCAGCTATTACTCACAGTCTGGAATGAACTACCCTTTAGCAACACTCTCAAACAGCCAGGTTCCTAAATTGTTTGTAGGAAATGAATGATACTAAACACACTCACTCCTGTGTAAAGTTTGCTGGCAAGATATTTGCCTTGCCAGAGGTTAATTGAACTAACTTTCTGTTCTTTGTTCTAATATGGCTGAGTCTACAGTGGTTTCTTCTTATATCATTGTTCTTGAAGTGATGCTTCTCTGCTTGGCTTTTTGTTATTAGAAAACTGAGTTACTCTGTATTTTTAAAGAATGCAGAAGTGCCAAAATGATTAACTAAGTTGTGCTCTAACAAGATGCAGGCTACATTACATAGCAAGGATTCATTTGTTGTTAGTGGCAGACTTGACATATTCACCGGCTTGTACATTTTAGGTCTGCCTTTTTATAACAACTTTTGTATCAGAGGGTCTAAAATAGGGATGCACCAATACCGTTTTTTTGGTATCGAGTACCGATACTCGCCGATACAGAGTACTGGTGCAGTGTGCCCCAATTATCAGGAAGTCGGGCGGCGGATCATAACCCGTCACCCCGCTTCCTGATTGCCTGTGAAGCCGGTGTTCTAGCGCAAGAACACCGGCTTTACTTGCTGAGGCTGCCTATGCCTGGCTTCATGACCAATCAGGAAACCGGGCGACGAGTCATGAGGTGCCGTCCGGCTACCTGATTGGTCAGGAAGCCAGGCTGCCTAACAACAAGTGAAGCCGGCTTCCTAGCCAATCGGGAAGCCGGGCGGCACATCATGACCTACCTCGCGGCTTCCTAATTGGCAGTGTGGATTCCCAACGAGTACCCATATTTTTTTTCGGTACTCGCCGATACTGAGTGCCTGTGCTGTGTGCCCCGATTATCAGGAAGTCGGGCGGCGGATCATGACCCTTCACACGGCTTCCTAAATGCCTGTGAAGCCAGTGTTCTAGCAAAATAACACCGGCTTCACTTGCTGAGCCTACCTGGCTTCCTGACCAATCAGTACTCGCCCAATATACTTGGTATCGGCACCGATACCAGTATCGGTGCATCCCTAGTCTAAAAGCTTCTCCAGCTGATGCAGGGAGTTTATGTACCAGCTTATCATGACACATGTAGTTAGAATTCCAGCCGAATCTTTGAATACATTGTTCAGCGCTTTTATTTGAACTGTTTCCTTTGACATACTGTAGAGGTACAGGATGGCATCGTTATGCAGAGGGTGCAGATCTGCAGCTTCCTGTGTCAACCTGCTGTTTTGGAGTGTCTAAAAGAATCGCCCCACTGGTAAAGTCCTCCCTGTGATCTTGCCCCAGTAGGTATATTAAATACCCTCCATATGAGCCCCCCAGTGCCTGTCACAATTTAGGGTGAGAGCACAATGCAATGTAATCTAGCTTGATTGGTTCATGCTGGCAAACCCTTTCTTTGTATGTAGGGCGTTATAGGAAGCCAGTATAAAGATAGATTGCAGGTAATTATACAAATGGCATTTTAGAATGTATTTGGCAGGTATTGAATGAATGCATAGCTAAAAAGTTTGTATGAAATTTCTCAGAATAGAGGGAATATGTAAACGAATACCACATCCCTCAGGAGACTATAGAAAAATGGATCTAAAAGGTCCAGTTGCAAAAAGTGGGACTTTAGATGTCGAAGGGAATATAAACCTGTCTATATAAAATCAAAACCTGTTAATATATAAAGTCAACGCAAAGTATCTTCCATTTTCTGTATTGAAACCTAATGAGTGATATTGTTATTGACCCTACAACAGGGCTAACAATTCTTCTCTTACTGTTTACACATGAATAGACTATACCCGGGAGTAGGTGTATATGATGTAATATATGCAATGTGATATATACACTATGTATGGTCTTGTTCAGCTCGACATATGATGCATCCACAATACACTATTTTTACACAAGTGTCTCCAATAGGTACACAGACAGCAATTTTAAGCCTTACAAAGCTTCTAACCCTTCCTTTCTTGTTGGCTGAAATTCGACCAGTGTGTGACCCAGTCGGCACCCCTCATTCCCATTCATCGTCAATTTTTGTTTAAGGAGCCAGTCCAAAAATATTAACCTAACAGTGTCTGCAGTCACTGTGCGTGTATTCTGAGAGCAACACACACACTGCTGTCAGAATACAATAGCTTGGTGAGAGGGATTTCCCCATCAACACTGTCCGTGTTCCTGGGGAAATCGAGACTCTTTGCTGGTTCCAACCCTGGGGCGAAATAAGAAAGGAAACTGTAGTCAAATGCCTCACATGGAAGGTGTGCAGTGAAGGAAGGAGGCATTTATATGAACCTGCTGCTATTGCCCTAACAAAGTACCCTAGTAGCTATTTATTCATCTTAATCAAGTATGGCTGATGTCAGAGGGTTTTTTTCTTTATACAATTGCTTTACCAACTTAATCTTCTGACATTGACATTAATGGGCAGAAAATGGACAGCATGAAGGCACAAAAGATTGTAATATCATAATAGATACTCCTAAAAAAAAAAAGTGAAAAACCCCAACTAACATAAATTCAACACTAAACAAATCTGACCAACACCAGCCAAATAGAAGATCTCTTATGAATGACTGCAGGAGATCTATATCCCGTTCCGGCCTCCACATTTACATCCCAAATAAACGATTGCTCAATTTTTGTAGAAAAACAGGAACAATCAGTGAAAATTGCAAAGACTTTCCAACATGTTAGCATTTGCTTGGAAGTAAAATTAGTGCTTCCGGTTCTCATACGCTATCACCGCTATCACTCATGGTAACTCTGATGATGCTTGATCATTGCAGTGGATGCTTGGATTGGTACTTGAGAATATCAGGCTCTGTGTTAACAACAAAGTGTCAATGGTGGTTCATGACTTGCTTTTCATCTAGATTTAGCAATCTGTGCTCTAGTTTTGTGTGCAAAATCTGACTGTGATGCATGTTCCGTGCTGATATTGTTCATAGTAAAAAGATGCTATGTGCATTACATTGGGTACTAATTTGCATTGTGTTTTGTCAGGTTTGTCATGTGTACAGTTGAAATGATTGTGCAGCAAACTGTATCATGGTTGCACACGTGTACCACATTTTTGCATATAACACATTTGTGTTCCTTCAAATAGTCAGTAAAATGACCTTGATTTTTTTTGTATGTGGTTTTATACTTGCTGATACCTTTTTTTTTCTCTTGTCTGACAGTCCACGCCCTCTCCTTCTGCTGACCTCTTGGGCCTGGGAGCTCCATCTACTACCAGCCCTGGAGCACCCACTGCTGCATCCTCCGATAGTCTGCTTGTGGACGTTTTTGCAGATGCATCATTGCCAGTTGCTGCTGTCGCTACAGAGGCGGAAGATAACTTTTCAAGGTGGGATGCAGATACGGAAAGGGGGGAGTGAGAGAGAGATAAAAATGCATAGACTGGTACATTGAGAATGTTCTGTGGGTAACTGTATTTATTGCCCCTTGTTTTGGCTGAGACATATTTTGTCTGCATAGTTGTCTGAATTGTCTGAATGTAAGCAGAGTAATGGGTACGTGTGGTCAAAATCAGTACAACTCCTCAATACATGAATCTATCGCCATGTGATGTCTCTTTAAAAGCATTGTAAGTACCAAGGAATACCTGATCACTCTAGAATTAGTCAGCTCCTAACATCCTGTAACAGGATGAAAACCATGCCTCTGCTGCACTGAAATAGCAGGAGAGGGGAAGAAACAGTAGGCAGCTGATATGGGAGCAGAGGGTGAGCTGAGAATATAAAGGGGGGATATGAAAGTGAGGTAAGGGAGATGTGCTGATGTCTGAGAGGAGGACTCAGTCAGGGCTGACAACAGTGCCCGGGCTTTCAGTACAGCAATGGCAGTGGACATGTATTGCAGAGCCGTGCTGAATATTTTTAGATTTTGCCCATGCAAACACTTTCAAGTTGCATTTTATTAGTGTGCATGCTGGGTTTAGGGGAACTAATGGTGCTCTATGTTGCTGCCTCTTTTCCCCTTGGTTTTTTTTTTTTCTACTTGCCGCGGATGCCCGGTGCAGTGAAGTTCCAACTTTCTCAGAAGGGGCATCTGGGGAGCCAGACCCTTCTGTACATGATGCAGATGATTTCTACTTCAAGTAAGCAAACCAAACCAAATCAGAAAGGCACATCTGGTTTATCTAACCATCCTCCTTTCCCACTGCAGTCTACCTTCTTCATTTCTAGGTCTTTATGGTATTAAAGCAGCAGTGTACATTAGCATAAAGCGGGGAGCCTAGAGAAATATTTGTACACTTATTGATTTTTCAAATGACAAATGCTTACCAGTCCTTATTGTTTTATTATAAAATATAAGGCTATGCAATACTAAAAAGGTTTATATGCTGGACAGAACAATCCCTTTCTTAGATATTGCTACTTTGTATTTCAGAGGTCTCGTTTCTAAAGCCTTGCATACAAACCAAAGTGCATTGCATGACAATAAAAAAAAATAGACCTCCTTCCTGGCTACATGATGCTGGCCAGCACCTGCATTTGCTTGGTCTTGTCTCCATTAGTTTTGCTGTTTAAAACTTATGTAGCACCCCCTCCTAATAATTGTGAAATCATAAGAACTAATATGTAGTCATGGAAGGAGCTGCAGTTAATTATGATGTGCAGCAGGACAAATATTTCAATCAATCCTTTTCGGTGTCTTCTCAACCTTATTACTTATTATACTCAACCCCCATTCTCCCCTATGTGCCTGTGATGGTCATATCTGTCCCAAGGTTACACAGTTGTCATAGTTTAACCAGAGGGATAACTGTTTAGGCATATTTTGTTCCACATACTGTATGACAAAATATTAGAAATGGCTGCCTCTTCTGTTCCTCCAGCAACTGATATAGGTGGATCTCCACTAAAAACATTTTAGTATTTAGAAAGGAGTGGTGTGGTCTTATCACTGTCTGGTCACCAAGACAAGAAGTTAGGGAGAATCTCTCTAGTTGAAAGAAAGGCAGTAAATCACATTTAATATCAGAGGTTGTTCCTCGTCTAAGTATTCAGGCAGCCATAAAATCTAATTTTGACGGTTCCTCTCACTTTCTCTGTCAGTGAGGGGTAATGTCCTCACTGGGACCAAAGCAATAGTAAAAACCTGAGCCTAATCCACTCCCTTCTACAAAGATATACTCTAGAAGCACACACACAATTCTGTTGAGATGAATTACTTACCTAAAATGTTGAATTTCCCCAGGTAGATAAGACATCACTGCTGCTTTAACCAGATAACTGTTACATGCAGAAATCTTCCATCTACCCATGTAACAAATATCATGTATTAGACGGTCACCTTAGGTTCCACCCTGGAGCGCTCTGATGATTTGCATGCATTACAATAGGAGTGTCTTAGTTTCCATATATCTAACATGGTTCTGACTGAGAGCCCACTGCCCAAATTTGATTAAATAACCTGCTACTGGTGGGCTCCCTGCCAGAAGATCTGCAGAACATACCGAATATTCCCCTTTGTATGCTTCCTTCCTAGTCTCAATAGTGTTTTCTGCAGAATTTTACTGAATCCTCAAAATGCTGCCATGTATGACTATATGATAGATTTACTAAAGTAAGTGCTGGGTCCTCGCAAAGACAACACTTTTTCTTACCTTATTCCTTGCAATACCAACAATCTTTAAGATACCAACTTGTATCTTAAATAAGATCTGCAGTAGTCCTAAGACTGCAAAGGATTACTAGGACAGGTAGGCACTGTGCTTTTTATTTTATTTTATTATAAAAAAATTAATATATAGACACACAGGGATAAGTAGGTCATATTTCAACATTACTATATACTATACATTATTATTTGGAGTAAAAATAGGAGCTTTTCCTTACCAAGGATATAAAAATGGTAAGGAAACTAACGCACAAACAAGACGGTTGCACAGGATGCAACTATCCATTGGTGGGTGTACATCTTAGCCCCCATTCACACCTGAGCCTTTATTTCCAATGCTGCCTGTTCACCCCAAGCTTGTCACTTGTAGTTTGAAAAGGTACATGACCCTTTTTTTTTAGGCAGAATCGTGCCTTTTGGGGCCATGCACTTCGATGGGAGTGCTTGAAAGCATGCATGATGCATGTTTTTCACACAAGTTCGTGCCTAACAACCATCTCTTTCAAGTTACTAGCTTTCCATTAGCTAAAGCAAAAATGTTCACACCTGAAAGACATGCTACAAAAACATTCAGGCTCTACTGTAAATGGGGGCTTAAAGGAGAAGTATTGGGAGAGTAAAATATACTCTTCCCAACGCTCAGAGCTGTAGTGGGTCACTCCTGTTGGCTTGGCACACACTGGCTCATACAATGTGAGAACTTTGTACACTGTTTGGTTGTATTATCTGGCACACGGATACACCCAAAGTCTGATTGAGTTGACACTGACACATGTTTTTAGATTCATTGTGGGGCACAGATTGAGCGCAACAAATCAGCATTCACAATTACACAGGTGCTAGCATCACATATATTGTTGCAGCTTGTCTTATGTGTGTGAGGGTCATTCCTAGTGCAGTTTTTTCACGGTAGTTACAAAGTGCTCATCACTCTGCTCATGACTTCCCCTTGCAGAGAGCAGTGAATGTCCAACACCGCTGTGCGCAAAAATTCTCTCCTCCCCTCTGTTTCTCAAGTGCTCTTTGGTTGGACAGACAGGGAAGGGGGCAAGCACAGCTGGCTCTGGCTCTAAAGAGGCAGAGTCAGCTGTCAATCAGGCATTGTGGTAGATCCTGAAAATATTGTTGGGATCCTTCAGGGCTGCAGCGCAGCTCTGTGCTGTCACCATAGGGCTGGGTTTTGCACGTTTTTCCGTTGAGTGAAACGAGTGTTTCACTGGCGGTATGATTGTTTTCCCCCCTTTTTTTATTTTTCTCTTTTTTTTTTCCACTTTAAAACTACCCGCCGGCTCTGCCCCCCTGCGAGGCGGCCGCTTGCAAGGGACGGAACCCGGAATCGGCAGCCGCCGGAAGACACAGCGGAGATCGCGGACAAGTTAAGTCCTACGCTGTATTCCCGAGTGTGGCTCGGGGTTAACCGCTTTGTTAACCCCGAGCTACACTCGGGAATACCAATGGAAAAACGCCCCAAACAAGCTCCTGTACTTGTTTGGGCGTAGGGCGTTTTTCAGCACGTTTCAACGGGCTGAAATACGCCCAGGTGGGAACCATCCCCATAGGGAAGTATGGGACTTCACTGTTTTGAGCGTTTTACAGCGCGTCGATCAGCGCTCTAAAATGCCCAGGTGTGAACCCGGCCTAAATAAATGCACTTCTGTGACCAAAAATAGAAGTAAAGCCCTATAGAAAAAGCGTTAAATATAAGCAGGATAGGGGAAATCAAGATTTATGGATTTAAAATGAGGAACTGCTAAAATCAATTAATGTGATCATTTAACCTTTCTCTGAGTTAGTGGAGGCACTAACATGCAGTCTAGAACCTGATACTAAAATATGTGGTCTTTAACCCCCCTTTACATTATGCTTTTTAACTGAATGTTGTGTAGCCAGAGTAGGCACGATGAGTTCCTAGCTGTTTTCTTTAATGCCACACTTGTGAAAATGCCAAAACTATTATAAAAAGTACAGTGTCTACCCTATTCATTTTTGTAGCATTATGTCAGCAACGTGGTGGCAGGTCCACTTTGAGAAATTTCACCTTGCCAAATCAGCCATTACCATGTTTATGATGAATACTTTTTTTTTTTTTTTCTATTAGATCTTTGTGGTTCCCAGAAATCAACCCCATATCATTGATAATGCAAGTGACACATTTTGTTATGCTTCTACATGGCATGTTGTGCTTTCGGATACACTGCCAATAGAGAACCTTCGTGTGATGGCACAAGTTCTAGTGCTCAAAATGCCATGTCCCTTTGCACTTTAGTAAATTTAGTCATACTTTTTCCCTTTACCCTTCATTACTATTAAACCCTTCGAAAAATAATTCCCTCTGTTCTGTATAGGAGATCATTAATTGTATCTTTTTGTTCTACATTTTGAAGGTTTATCTGCAAAAATAATGGCGTCCTGTTCGAGAATCAGCTGCTGCAGATTGGCTTGAAATCAGAGTTTCGCCAAAATTTGGGTAAGCGTTAGCAATGCAATTGAACTATTGGGTGTTTATCCAAGCACTGCAAATGGAGCGTATTTAGCCCATGGAAGCAGAGGGATATTATGTATATTTTTACTTGGAGGTTACAGCAAGATAAACAGAAGGACCCTGTTCAGTCTGTAGTTATAACAACAATGTCTGCACATCTGCATTACACATTGAAGACCAACTCCAAGCAGTAAAAAAAAAATCAGTAAACCACGTTTACTTCTCAGGAAACAATTATACTAAAGTAAGAAGCACACTCCGTTTATCTTTAGAGAAGAGTGACACTGTAAAGTGACCCTAAACTCGGGCGTTAAATCCTAAAAATTCATTCAGGTACCTTTTTAACTACTAATAAAAAAACGTATTTGTAGATCCTTAAATCATCTCTGAATTGGCACTGACACTGTCCTAACTTCTGGAGGGTGGCTGCATTATTTCCTCATGGTCCCTGTGTGTGTTGTAAAGTTGCTACCGCTCCGAGGTCGCTCCCATGATGGACTACAAGGTCATGTTTAGTATACTAATTTGTATTGAGATTGTAGTAGTCCATCATGGGAGCGAGCTTGGAGCGGTGGCTACTTTACAACACACATGGGGACCATGGGGAACAAAAGTAGCCACCCTCCAGAAGGAAGGACAGTGTCCGCACCAATTCAGAGAGGATTTGATGTTTTATATTGTAAGTAAAAAGGTTATGAGGCCGTTACTTTAACTGGTAACGTCTCCCACTAAAATAGAGTGCTCCTTTGACAATCATCATCAAGTTTTGTTGTGATCCATCTGTTTAAACACCTGAACAATTCAAGCATAGAATATAGAGAATGCATAAGCAGAAGTTTCTTTCATTTAAGAAAACTGCATGTTAGAACAGTCAGTAGATCCAGATTCAAGTTGCTGGACTCCTGTAAAGGTCAAGCTAAACACCATCTCGCCCCACTTCCCAAAATTCCTGATTGGTCACTGGTGATGAGGCCTCATCGACCAATAGAACACTCGGGAGTGAGAGGGACAGAGTCAAATTCAACTGTTGCAGAATAAGTATATATACCTCTGGATCTACGTATTGCTTTGAATTGGCAGTTTTTACGAAGGGTCATTTCTGCTTGTGCATTTTTCCATAGACATATGTTGTTCAATTTGATTTACTGCAAGAATACCTAACTGTTGCAATAGCAGCCGCAGACTGCAGATGGCAGCCTGAGTTTTTTTATTTTTAAGCCCTGTCTTGATCTTTTTTTTTTTTCTTTCACATTTTATAGGTCGTATGTTTATTTTCTATGGAAACAAGATGTCTTCTCAGTTCCAGAACTTCACTTCAACACTAATTTGCTCAGATGAGCTTAAAGCCAATATCCTTTCTAAAATCAATCAGAATAATTGTGCTTCTGTATACATATAGCAGTACTTGCAATAAAATTAGTAGGTTATAATATGGGAGGTTTTGTGAATGCAGGAGGTCTAAAAATATAAGTGCAGACGTTATGAACTATGGAGTGTATAGCCATTTTATTTAAAAAACAAAAACAACTACCCAAAAGAAAAATCTAGCACAATCCCAACTGGATTTGTTCTGTGATGTTATTTATGTTTTGGTACTCAATCACAACTAAAGAAGCATCTCAGATGATCCATGGGGATGCTCTGATACCATTTTTGAAGACCGAGTAGGAGTATAGGTACTTTTCCTCAAGTGCTCGCCATTACTAATTACTGATACCTTTTTTGTCATGTGACAGTTTTTCTAAAACAATACAGACTATTTTAGGACAATGGTGGAGTGCCAGGGCCCTGTCGCAGTTGCCTGCTGCAACCCTGGAAGTTCTGCCACTGATACCAAGCTGTAGAGGGACTACAAATCTCAGCAATACATTATATAGCAATGCTGAATAACATCAGCTATAATGCCGGTTCACGGGAAGGCTGCTAAGGTCCCCAGCAAGTGCGGGACCCGAGGCAGCCGCTTCAGTTGAAAAATTGAAAGCACCGTTATCGGTGTTTAGTATCGGAGCGTTTTCACTAGTAAATGTACTTCTGAAAGTGCCCAGTATGGGCTTCAATAACAGTATCTATGCTTTCCTAGTCTTCCAACATTTACAGAACAAGTCCATATGAAGGTCACACACTACTACTAGTTATACCGTAACCTGGATAAATTAGGACCGTCACATACATAGTACACTTAATAATAATAATATTTACCTAAATATTTCTTTCTTGAGTTCTAAATGTTCCTGGGTACAGCATTTTAAAAATTGACAGTATTGTCATTGACCATCAGCAGTACTTCTAACATTACTATTCTAAAGTGACAAAACATGCAGTTCAATATCATATATGTAGGTGTGGGCTAACTTTTTAAATGTGCTGGAGGACATTATTTGCATGCATGCAGAATACACTGTGGGAGGGGTTTCGCTGGGTAAATCCGAGATAGAGAAAGATATAAGGGTTCTTGTAGAGTACAGACTCGGTAACTGCTTGCAGCAAAAAAAACAAGTTTAATATTAACTTGTATTAACTTGTATTAGAAATCTAATTCTGCCACTTTGTAAAACACTGGTACGGCCACAGTTGGAGCACTCAGTGCAATCGTGGTCACCTAACTTTAGGCGGGATGTCCATGAGCTAGAGCAGTGGTTCTCAACTGGTGGGTCGCGACCCAAAAGTGTGTTGCAACCCCGTGTTCAGTTTGTGTGCCTTCCACTGTGTAGGCGAGAGGTCTTCCCCAGGAGCAACACTGTCAGTTCTCGCGCCAAGCAGCCATTCAAAATATGCTGCCTGCAGCCGAGTTTCAGCTTGAGGTGGGGGTTGGAAGGGGGTATGGCCGCGGGGAGCTCCATCCATACGGGCGTTGCTTACAGCTCCATCACGTGCCCTGTAGAGGTGCCTGGGCCGGAGTGACATAACATTCTGGCTCCCAACACCTCTACAGGGTGCGCAAGGGAGCTGTACAAGCAATGCACGTATGGAGGGAGCTCAGTCACAGCACAGCAGCCCACACTGGACCTCAGGCTGAGGATCCACTCCAGTTCTCGCAAGGTAGGGAGAATGAGTGGATCTTAGAAGAAGCATTTATTTATTTTTGTAGTGTGTATGTGTCTGACAATGTCTGTGAGATTGTAGTTGTGTGTCCCTCAGTTTTATGAGGGCCCATTCACATTAGTAGACTGTGTTATCACAGTCCCTTACGATTAATGCACCCCACCACGCAATTGCATCTACTGCACGTTCTGGTGTGGGAGGTGCATTATACAGATGCATCAATACCGGTATTTTGGTACAGAGTACCGATAATTTTTTTCCGGTACTCGCCGATACCAATTACAGAGTACCGGAAGTCCCATTCAGGAAGCCAGGTGGCATGTAATGACTCGCCACCTGGCTTCCTGATAAGCCGGGCAGCGTGTAAAGACTTGCCACTCGGCTTCCCGATTAACAGCAAAGTCTGTCATCTCTCACCTCGGCATGTCCAGCCTGTCACCCCCGGGGCCTCTCCAGCCAGGTGCGTCCTTCCTCCGGTACCCAGCCAGAGCCATCTTGCTGGCCAATCATGGAAGCCGGGCGCCGTATAATGACGTGGTGCCCTGCTTTCTGATTGGCCGGGAGGCCGGCTCCATGCTCCCTCATCATGAGAGGAAACTGGGCAGCGTGTAATGATGCGCTGCCCGACTTCCTGATACAGGAAGTATCGGGCTAGGCATCAGAGCATTTGGGCGAGTACGAGTACTCGCCCAAATACTCGATATCGGCACCGATATCGATACTAGTATCGGTGCATCACTAGTGCGTTACATTGCCATTCATTTGAATAGCACCCCAAATACACACCCGCCCACCTTAGTTGCTTACCAAATTCTTTGTTTACATCATGCTGCCCGCCGCCGGCTAGGTTCTGCAGTCGGCAGCAGAATGTAAACAACGGGGAGCAATAGCCAGCCTGCTGTCGGCTATTTCAAAATCAAGTTCTCTCTCAGGTCTTAGTGGATGGGGGTTTCAATAGCCAGCCTGCTATTGTAATTTGAAATAGCCAATAGCAGGCTGGCTATTGAAACCCCACCCACTGAACAGAGAGATAGTTCTCTTTCGGGTCCGCTGCTCTGCTCAGTGGGTGGGAGCAATAGCCAGCCTGCTATTGTAATTTGAAATTGTAGTCTCTACAATAGCGAGAGATATAGCAATAAGCTGTCCTCTTCAGAAATTGAGCCTTGTCACGCTAACTCCTACACAGTGGTGTGCAAGTGCCAGGGAGGTGTTTCCGAAGTGTTTTGCTGTTAAGCTTTATCAAGATTTAAGTTTTCCTTTAGTTAAGTAGCAATAATTGAAAATAAGGTGACATGCTGTAAACATTGCAGAATGTCTGCTATGTATAACTATGCTCTGAGTAAGGATGACTATTTGCTTATATTGCTAATATTGCCTGCCTGTGGATTAAAGATCATTGTTCAGAAATCTTGAAGATCATGAAACACGTGTAGATGAGTTTTGGCTGGTTTCCGTGTAACATCTAAAACTTGCTCTTCTTTGAAATACTGACATTGATGAGGTTATATTTGTAGCGTAAAAGTAATAGATTTTGCAAGAGCAGGGTCTCACAATCACCACTGCCCTATTCTCCTTGACGGCCTTTTATGTCTGAATCTCCAGTCTAAGCCAGTGGAATCCACAGTTGATGGAGGTGCCCAGGTGCAGCAAGTGGTCAACATTGAGTGCGTGGAGGAGTTTGTGGAGGCCCCAGTCCTCAACATCCAGTTCAGGTATGTTTCTCCTTTTAGTTCTGTTAAGACCCCAGTCCTCAACATCCAGTTCAGTAATGCTGCCCCTCGTGTTTCTGTTGTGGAGGCCTTAGTCCTCAACATTTAGTTTAGGTTTGCTGCTTCTCTTAGTTTTGTTGTGGAGTCCCCAGTCATCGGCATTCAGTTCAGGTATGCTGTTCCTTTTAGTCCTATTGTAGAACAATGTCATGTGTTGCTAGAATACAATGTATATGGCATCACCCTAAATTCAGACTTTTACTTTCTGCAATTTATATTGTATCTGTATTACCCTGTGATACCATTCAAATTCAGCCCATGATTGTTATTCCTTTTCCTATATAGCTAGCAGGGAATAAAAACAAAAAAAAACTAAAGCTGGAGATGAATTCATATTGTGAATGTATACTCTTCATTATGTACAGCATACGTTACATGGCCTTAAGCAAAGGTTTTAAACACCCTTGATCTAATGACACATTTTGATGATTTTTTTCAGTGAAAGATAAATACACGCTCTGCAGAGACAATATTTCTACTTTCATTTGTTTCTGCAATTGTTGATATACAGTTTGGAGTTATTTCTTGGGATTAACAAAAATAAAATTAAAAAATGTGTTGTGCAAAGTTTTGGGACCCCCCCTGACCCTGCGCATGTCTTGTGGACTACTAAGTTTTAAGTTCTTCCTTTAGGAACATATCCCACTCTTCCTTGATTTAAAAATACACATTTAAAATCTTTCAAACATTTAGGTGCATTTCTTATGGTTTGGGGTTGTGTGAGAGCCAGAATGCAGGAAATGCTGACCCTGTAAATGGAACAATGGACATTAAGTATCCCTGAAGGGTAATATCTCATAGAAAATCTAAAAACTGATGGTAAAAAGCTGTTCCAAGGGTATGATTGAAAACCCCCCTCAAAATCAATCATAAGCTAGTTCACGATATTAAGATTCAGGTTTGGGAATGGCATTTAGGCTAGATTACTAATCATCTGTGTGTAGATGTCAACCATACAATGCGTGTAACAAAACCCAAGAATATTCTTTATCCACAAGTACTTTTCACAATTCTAGCTAATGAGTTAAATTTTTACTTCATCACAGCTCAGCATTTTCTGAAGTGTTGTATACTTTAGATGTGAGAATAATGGTTCTTTTCTGCAAGACATGTTTGCTGAACTGCGGACTTGTGCATTGCTGATCACATGAAAGCTAAACGTTTCTGCAGTTCCTTGGCAGTGGTAGTGCGTTTTTGCTTTGCATACCTAACCAGCAAGCAACCAGACTCTTCTTGATCTTCCATTTCTTATCTCTGGCCTTTTTGTAGATGCCTTGTAGATGTGTTTGAATTGCAGGCCTTTGCAAGCTTCTCTCCCATTTTCAGTAGTGGGAAAGTCTGTGCTAATAGAAAGACTAAGGACAGACTGAGCTCCCTCTCATTAACATACAATTCCTCAGATCTTTAACCCTTTGTTAGGACAGACAGTCGTGCTAGTTTACAAGTTATAATGAAATATGCCAGTACAGACAGGGTTAATTATTTGAAACTTCCCCCAACACACACAAGCGGTCATGGAATTGGCAAAAAGAGCATCTAAAAAAGGTAATTTGCCATTTTTAAAAGTTGTGTAAATGGGAACATGTGACAATTCTAAAGTAGGTGTTATCCTAATTTGGCTGCAAAAGTGGAAATAAACTTTAAACTGGGAGGATCTGTCTATACGACCACAAAAACCATCTCAGTGCTTTGAAAGACTCTTACATTATGTATGAGATGCTGTGAGAGTGGATTACATTTATGAATGGTAGAGATTCGGGGTTCTAAGGATGTATGAGCCTTGGGATTTGAGAACTTCGTATGGGTAAATATATTATCTTCTTGTTAAAGGGGGGCCTACGTGTCCATGAAAAGTTGGATCTGTGACATGGAAAACGTATCAACTGTGTGCTGGTCAATCTTTATTATGCTGTTTTAAGCAAGTTACATAGTCAGGTTGAAAAAAGACACATGTCCATCGAGTTCAACCTATAGCGATATGAAAAAAAGAAAGAAGCAACATGTCCTATTATTAAGCAATAAAAGGTGGAGCATACCACTTTCTATGAAATTTGCAGGGTGTAGATATCAACATGCACAATACAGATGTGTTGTTAGAGACACTTTAGGGTGGCAGGATTGAGGCTGTTGATGTGGTGGGAAAGTTTTTGAACAATTCATTATATGGATGTTAGAGTATAACACCACTTGACTTTGGTATACAGTGTAAATAAGAATGTCTGGACTTGGAGATATTGCACATTTTTCCAGCCTGGCATAGGACAATCTGCTTCATACAGCCTGGGTGATATCAAATGTGCTATTAAGGTAAATCTGTTATGTTTTCTCTAGGTACGCGGGTGCTTTCCAAAATTTCTCGGTGACGCTGCCCATCACTGTCAATAAATTTTTTCAACCAACTGAAATGGAAGGCCAAGACTTTTTTCAGCGTTGGAAACAGCTCAGTGGGTAATGTTGTCTCAGTTACTAAATCGTTTGAGTAAGGTCAGGTGGCTGAACAGCACATCCATGATTATTTAGATGAATAATGACAGCATTATATTTAAATGGTATGTTTAGCTTGGCTCAGTCAGCATGAGGTGTGATGAGCAGAAAACATGAGAGAGAGATTTATTTTTTAATGCAACCAATCGATTTAGTTGAAAAAATAATCGGGCAACTAATCGATTATGAAAATAATCGTTAGCTGCAGCCCTATATTCACAATGTACTGACTTTGTGTGTCCCTGTAGAGGTGCGCAACTAATCACATGGGACATCTCTATCCAAATTGTAAAGTTATTACTGATTTATTAGACAATGATTATTTTTTTGGTGTGGGTCGTGATCCCTTACCTATTTTATAATATTTTTAATTAGCTCAGTCATGCTTACTGTTTTTAATAGTTACTCTTGAAGAAATCCCCATTATAATGGCCAGATATTCAAAGTTCATCTGGGTTAACTCGTAGTATAAAATGTATTTTTTTATTTTCTAAACCCTATGCATTTGTAAAGAAAACTTTAGTAAGATTTTCTTTATGGAAGCCACATATAAAATGGCTTTTCAAATACACCTTACAATATGTCCATAGGGAAATACAGAGTGTACATATGTTTAACTGGCCATAACACTCTCTTACAAATAGTCTACACAATATTTTGCTGAGCTACTTGATTCTTGCTAAATGCTTAGTGTAATGTTATGTTGCTTCTCCAGGCCCAAGCAAGAAGTGCAGAACATTTTCAAGGCAAAGCTTCCGATGGATACTGAAATCACTAAAGCAAAGGTTGGTTCCATATATATGAATAGAATATGAAAGTTTTGTTGGTTTTACTATAATTCTCTGAAGAATGTAATAATACAGCTTGCATGATACAATATACAGATCTTTGAGTTGCTCTGATGATTTGTAGTAGCAGCTCATATCCTATAGATGCCACTGTTGGAATGTCAAGAAATGCAAAAGCTGTAGGCTTAGAAGGTAGTAAGTATCTGAAATCAATGCAGGAGAACCCAGCTTCCAGGGGCAGAGGATCCTAGTGAAAGAGAGGTAAAGATGCAAACATGGGATTAAGTTTACTTCAGGAGACTGTCACCTGGGGAGTGGGATACAGTGTTGCAGGTATAAATTGCTGGTGCCTCTTAAGTTTATCAGTACAGAAAGAAAAAGGAGAATCTACATGAATTTACTCAGTCTTTTGTTTTTCTATATTGTTTGCCTAATAATGTATCAGTTGCTCCCTCCATGCTAGATACATTATAGTGTTTCCATTCCTTCCAACTAAGGACTTAAAAGAGAACTATAGTGTAACCTTTTTATCCCATAGTTCTCTTAAAGGTCACGGGAGGACATATACTAACATCCTCCGATGACCCAAAGCTAAGTATATAGCTCGCTATATACTAGACAGTGCTGCAGGTGGGACAGATCTTGATAATGCTGTTGAGATCCACCCAGCTCCACCCATTTCTCCAGTCAACGCTGGAGGATCGTAGGGGGGAGGAAATCTCTGCGGGGTGCGGTGACCTGCAGTCGCCGCTCTCTGCAGGGAGATAATTGGAAAGTGAACGAGCGACGGTATGTGCTCACTTCCCGATCTATACAGCCGTCGTCTGATAGGTTTTGTCACAGGCTGGCTCTAACTATGAGGATGAGTGAAAATCACTCACCTCATAGTTCTCCTTTAACTCGCTCAAGCTGTTCATTCCACATTGTTGCAAACGCTTACATGAACTTACGTGTGCCATTGAAGTCAGATAAACTAACTTAGAGCTTGAACTGTTCATCCATTGCAAACAATGTGCATCTGTGGGAAGGACCTATTAGCTGTTTCTGCATTATTACACAGAGTAGTACGACCATTTCATATGTAGTACTGGTTGTAGAGACGGATGTGTATGTGGTCGTTCGACGACGTTGTCCGCTAATTTTTATGTTCACAATGGGATGTTTTGTGGGTATAGTGTCCCAGGCTATCAATGGACTTCTATTCACACTACATGACTGTTTTTTATGCTTTTATAGTCTGGTGCCTAAAGTTGCTGACACATACCTGCAGCAGCCTCCCAAACCTCCCTGTTATGGCTAAATTTCCAATAAAGCGTTGTCAATTCCTTATAGCCTTGAAGCTTGCCTGCCTCCTGCTTATTCCGCTTAGAGGCTGAGCTTTCAGAAGAGCCCAGGCATTTGGCCATGACCAGAAGATTTGGGAAGCGGCTGTAGGCACCCTTGTGGTTTTATCCATCTTACCTATGGCAGTATAGGGTTGCAGGGTGGGTTGGTGTGAGGACTGCAGGAGGGGTTATTAGAGGAAAGTTAGTATGAAGGAGACCTTAGGCTGGGGCTTTTTACACTGAAAGCTGCCAGCATCAATCTCAAGCTATTAGAAACTAAATCAAATGCCATAAATGGAGATTATATTGTGCATACTTATGGTGTAATATATATGTGTTCACCTCTCAGCTCATTGGATTTGGACCTGCCCTTTTAGAAAATGTCGATCCAAACCCGTCCAATTTCGTGGCCGCTGGAATCATCCAAGCAAAATCCCGGCAGGTAGGATGCCTGCTACGCCTCGAACCCAATGTGCAGGCACAGGTGAGTTTTATATATACAGCTTGACGACTGGGAATGTTCCTTTTTGGAATCCTCCAAAGTGATTTAAAGTTGTGTAATTTCCTGAGTAAAATATTTGTCTTTGTTACTTTTTCACTTATGTAGCTTCCATTGCTGGCATCTTTTTTTAGTGTGAAACCTCTGAGGTTGTCATCCTTGTTTCTCTAGTTAGTGACTGAAACAAACACACAGATATCAGGTATCCCAGTAGTTGATATGCAGATGAATGTGCCAGGTTGGTGATTTACCTAGTGGAGGAGGAAGGATAAGGATGACAAGCAGAGAGTTTTCACTTTCAAAAACAAGTCGGCAACAGCTGCCACATTTCTGTCCTGACAACAGAAGATTACTCATAAGTTTTTTGTTTTCTGCCCAAACAGATGTACCGGCTCACCATCCGCACAAGTAAAGAAGATGTATCCCAGAGACTGTGTGACCTGCTCTCTGAGCAGTTTTAGACCTCAATCACTCTGGTTCCAGAACCCATGTCTTTGTGATCTTCCCTTTACTGCCAGTTCCTTATCATCTCAGTGAAAATAAATATTCCCAACACATTGTCTGTTTATCTTTCTTCATCTCATGCGATATTTATGCACAAATTTATGTTGTATATGATTTTGTATCGGCTGGCTTTTGTACCTTACAAGGATTGGCAGGAGAGCTTTAGGTGGAGAAGGGTAATGGGTAATATGAAAGTGTAATGTGGGAACATTTAAAGCAGAGCTAAATTTAAACAACTGTATTCCTCAAATAAGTCATTTGTAAAAGAAAAAGCGCTTACAGTAGACCACCTGCAGCTGATATTTTATTTTCGCACAGTAAAAACGGTTGCACGCCTTCCATACACCTGCCGATTTATCGCATGATCGCGGGATTTCCCACGATTATCGTACGATTATCGTACGATTATCGTACGATTATCGTACGATTATCGTACGATTATCGTACGATAATCGGCAGATGTAGGACCACCTTAAGACTGGCCATACACTGATCTATTGTTCTTGTTTAACCCACGGGCTGAAGGAGAAAAATTAAAGCAGATTCCTTCAACACTTAAGAATGTATGTTGATAGAGGAATCCCGACAAGAGCGAGCAGCTCATTGGCTGCCGGCTCCTATTGTAAGAACATTTTCCAGCCAGCTCCTTCCATCAGCTGATCAAGGTACGCCAACCGAAAGGGTGCCGACAGCGGCATTCACTGCGTATGTTGTCAGGTTCCTCAAAAACCGGCCGAAATTCGCACAGTGTATGGGGCACCTTACGTTTCCATTCCATATCATCTCTAGAATGTGCTGCCTTGGTTATCCCTTACTTTACTACGTTTTTATACACGCATCTCTGCTAAATTCACTGGCAACATAATTACAACTGAAACAGACAAAAATCAGTTGTTCACTCGGTAAAGGTGCCCATACACCTTACGATTATCATACGATAATCGTATGTAATCGACTCTTCGTACGACAATCGTAACGAGTGAATAGAGTGCCTGACGGATAGTACTGTACAATCGTCCGACTTTTGACGGTCAAGTGTGTTTTGAAAACTTTGGTCGATCGTATGATGTTCGCATGGTTGGTGCCGTTTCCGTCTGTCAAAAGTTGTACGATTAACACTGCGCAAACGAAAATAATTGCGGTCAATTACCGCAAGTTGTCCAGGTTTTTTTTTTAAACTACCGCTGATTGAACCTTTCGATAATTGGGGCAGGATGGGGCCGTCGTACGACGGTTCGATCATCGGACGAAAAGTTTCGTCCAATAATCGTAAGGTGTATGGGCACCTTAATACTCTCACTTATACAGCCACTCATTTATGGTATTGCTGACAGGTGTGACTAGCACAGTTTTTAAGAGCGAATGATAAGGGTGCCCATACACCTTACAATTAACTGCAGATTTTCTGTGGTCAGATGGAAAAAGTTCAACAGATTGGCCCAGGTGGAGATTACTCCATCCACACAGTTAAGTGTAGATGGAGGAATCTGTTGCACCTTTTCCATCTGACCATAGAAAATCTGCAGATAAATTGTAAGGTGTGTGGCCAGCTTAAGACTAGAGAGAGCTATAAAGAGAATGGAGAAGTATCCCACCAACTTCTCAGAATACCGTTGCCAGTTAATTGTACACACAATTCTCGGAAAAAAAAAATCCAAAGATTGGTAATAAGCTTCAGTATCTAGCTAGTCTGCCCTGCTGGCTCTCGAAACACCTGAACAAGGCCTCCATCCAATCAGATTGTTTAGATATTTTGACAGCCAGCGGGACGACTAGCAAAATACTGAAGCTTGGCCTGAAGGTCACTTTCAGACAATCTAGTCCAGTGGTACTCCAGAAGCCAGGCTGAAGATGTTCCTGACCCATAGCTGCAAATGAAGAGACGAACTCTAACAGACATGTAGAGAAAAATCTTGATTGAAGAGAAAAGATGGCATGCAACAAAATAGGTTTGTCTATTAACGCAGCAGAGCTGAAGTAAAAACGTCCAGCCTAATAGGAGACTATTAAAAAAGCTGATGCATGCTGATAGTAGGAGGACATATCTTGGACTGGCCTACAGTTTTTTGCTTGATAGTGTCCAATACTCCTGTAATTGGCAGTATTTACTTGAAGGTGAAAACTTGCTATATATCTTAATGGACAAGAAAGGAATACTTGTTGCCTCTTATCTATGACTTTATTACTTCTGAGCCACTGACCTGGAACAAGCATGAAACACATAAATTCATAATGCCCTAATCTGTATATTAGTTTCAAGTTAATGAGTGAGAAAACATTGGAGAAAGAGGGTTGTTCATGGTGTATACTGTAGATGATTATTGTTCCTGATTCTTTAAGCTGCGGTAGCAACAGTGTCCTAAAGTGACCCCTTAAGCAGTATTATCAGGTACAATATCTTCTAGCACACTTGACGTTCTATCACAATTTCATGGACTAGGAACATTGTACTGCTATTAAAGCACCCTTTAACTAATGGGTCATATGTGAACCAACCAACCATGGTACAAATTTTATATAAACGTTCTGTTCATCCAGATAATGCAAGCTAGTGTCTAAAACTAAAACCAGAAGTTGACACATATGCATAAAGACAACAATGTTTTATTTGGCATATTGATAAACATTTCAGGTCTACTTTACAAGGTGTTCTGCAATCTGGTTATTAAATCGGTGTGAATTTATAAGTGAGAATACATATTGATGAAAGGAAAAATCTTTATTTGCTGGTGTTGATGTAATTAATGTTAAATGTTGTTAGCACATGGTATAGTGTTACATTCGCATTGTTCAATTAATTTGATCTGTACAGTAATGGATTTTGTTGAATCGGGACAGTGAAGTTCAACTGATTTTACTGAGATGCTCACTGGACTGCAACAGCGGCACCTACCTTCAACTGCCTCAAATCCGTCATGATACCTGGAAGAAAACAAAAAAGAACATGAGCTATGTTAATGTTATAGTGGACAAGGAGTAAAACACAGCACACTTGTATCAATTATATAATCCCATACTTATACAAGTGACCAGTGTTTATTAAGTCTAGAAGCACTGTTTAAGAGTATAAAAGGAGAACTATGAGGTGAGTGATTTTCACTCAACCTCATAGTTCGAGCCGACGTGTGACAATGAAACTCACACGTTGGCTCAAGAGACCAGGAAGTGAGCGAACACATAACGTTGCTCGCTCACTTCTTGATCTTGTCCCTGCAGAGAGCTGTGACTGTCACTCACGTCTCCCTGCAGGGATTCCCCCCCTCCCCGCACCGATCCTCCAGCACTGACTGGCGGAACGGACGGGGGAGGGTACAGCTGAGTGGATCTCAAAAGTAATGTTGGGATCTGTCCCGGCTGCGGCGGTCTCAGTATACCGCAAGCTGTAGCCGGCGATATACTGAGCTTTGGGTCACGGGAGGACGCTAGTATATGTCCTCCCATTCCCCTGAGGAGAACTATGGGGAGAAACACTAACCACATAGTTCTCCTTTAACAATGTGCACTCATTCTTAGAGACACCAACCTTTCCAGCAATGGTCAGCCAGCCATTCTTTTTCTATAAAACCAGAAATCTGGGGCTGCAGTTCTGTACAGCTAATATATCTACCTACATTATTACTTATTGAACAAGAAAAATAGATCAGTGCATGGCCAGCCTTATGCTAGCTGTATGTAAAATGCATGTATAATTTAAAGAGTATACACCTCTACTAAATGCATAGAATTCATGTTCACATGTCCTGATCTATCCTTACCTATTCCACATTAAATCATGGTAATGGTACTTAGTCAACACTTCTTCCCTAGCATACAACTGGACAGTGTAGGAGCAGCTGACAAGAACAGTGTAAGGCCTATGACATACAATTGATCATGGCACTGGTGACAACTTGCCAGTGACATGATCACTAAGACACCTAACAGCTTCTGAGGCATCACTCCCTCCCTGGTCAGACTGCTGCAGAACCTCCCTTGCTAAAAAGGGTGCAGAGACAGAAAGATAGTGAAGGAGTGATGCTGAAGAAACAGGTGAGCTTTGTCTTTGCTCTCTTAGCGATCATTCACCAGGAAAAGGATTGCTGGTGTAATACTAAATCAATAGAACCCTGATTGCCCTTCATTGATCTGTACATGGGATTGCAGGAGGCTGATGTCAAGTAATTCAGGTACATATGCTAGTTAAATCTACAAATACATTTTGAATTCATATATAACTGCTGGCCATACACTGATCTATATTTACACTGATCTAGATTTCTCCATCAGCACTTAGGAGTGTGTTGACCGAGGAATCCTACTGTGTGCATTGTATTTGTGCAGCAGCCACTGGCTGCTGTCAAATCCCCGACGTGAGCGTGCAGCTCATTGGCTGCCGTCTCCTATCGTACGAAAATTTTCCGGCCATCCCCTTTGATCAGCTGATTGAGAGATGCCGACTGAAAGGGTGCCGACAGCCGATTCGGCTATTCTCTCACTGCTGTTCGGGATCTTTCAGAATAGCCCGAACAGCAGTGTGAAGCCTGCCGGAGGTTCGGCTCAGCCGCTCCCGATGTTGGATCGGCTGAGTCGAACTCCTTCTGCACTTCGGGTCAGCCGAACATGCTGAGCATGTTCGGCTGATCCGAAGCCACACGAAGCAAGCCGATGTACGGCGGATTTCAGTGTTCGGCTCACTTCACTTCTGATCGGTCATTCACTCGGCTGCCCTCGGCAGCTTTGTGAATAGACCCCTATGTATATTTCAACTCTGTATTTTCTTGTTTATCTGGATTTAAGCTTTAACTGTTCTATTTTATTCAGCAAAATAGCTGAATGCATTTTATTCCCCTGCCTATCTTTGGTAGAATACATATGAGTCAAAATAAAATATAAAAGCCTTAAGAAGTTATACAAGTAATACAACTACTGAAGAAAACCGAATAATGCATTTGACCTTACCATGATTCAGACTCGCAGTATCCCTGACACTTGTTCAGCGGCACTTCAGCTGTGCAATTATCCTTAGTGATGCGCTGTTTGTATTGCTGAGGGCTGCAGTTGTCTTCTAAAAGGAT